AGGTGTTTTTTTTTTCCCCTGAGCACAGGGACTTTCAGAGCTATCTAGAACCATTCATTGTATAATAGTAGATCCTTAATAAATATATGAATTGAATGTTTACATGGATGACTTGCAGTGCCATGAAAGAGTTGTGCTACGGGTTTAGTGCCACTTTATCTTTTCATGAGCTATATGGTAGTAGGATGAAGCTCCAGGAAGGTATGATTTTAATGGTCAGATTTTCCATTTAGGTGCAGAACCCACCTATAGCTAACACACAGTGTTTAATGTACTGAGGCAGGGAATTAAGATAGAGATGCATGAGTATTTCTTAAACGCAAAGCATTTAAGTTGGAGAATAGAGGTTTGGTTTTATTTCTCATACTGTGTAGATTTTACATTTTAAAATTATGTTAAAATAATATTTCAATGGCTGTGAAGGAGAGCCTGTATTCAATGATCACACATTGCTGGCAATATTATATCAGTTGGTAATTTTATGCTATTCAGTCATAATTGGCTTACATGTTTTTAACTGAGGATCATATTGAGACTGTTGCACTACTCATACTTTATTCCAAGTATGGAGAATACATACTTAAGTTCAAATTTTGGGTGAATAAATGCTTTGCATTTGAGCATAATTGAATGTGATTTAACATTATAAATTGTTATTYCTCAAGATATTTAGCTTTAGACATTTAGCAATTGTTATAACATGATATGAAGTGAAAAAATTCCCTCCCTGTTTAGTTCTTTTCTGTCTTCAGTATAATATTTTTGTATTAAACATTTTAGTTAATAATTTTTACTGTATTACAAACTGCACTGTGGTTTCCAAGTTCATATATCTTAAATTATACTTGCTCATGTAAATAAGCTGCACTTTGCAACTTTGGGTTTTTAACCTTTGTTCTTTGCTATTAGCTTTATGTTTTTGTAATTATACAAAAATGGAGGACAGTAGGGAACTTGTGACTTAAATGGACTCTTATTACTATATTCCTTCTGAAGGAAATGAAAAATTAATTTTATGCCAATCAAGCAGAAACAAAATATAGAATATCTTGTACTATTTTTTCCCAGTATTTAATATTAACATAGTTTTTACTTTTAGTGTTGTAATTATCCTTCAATTTTAATGATTGATGGTGTGACTAGTTATTTATAGTTATGGAGTGTGTATTGTTCATAGTTATTATTGCCTAACATATAAAAAGAATGAATGTTATTTTTAGTTAATGTAAGCATATTAAATGCATAAGGAAGTCACAGTCATTTAAAAATTCAGGATTATTAGTTTGTCCTGCAAACCAAAGTTTCCTTATATTATATAAACAAAAACAAAATAGACTAGATATTCAAAGAAGCATTCACAGTTTTAGTCATTATCTTGTTCTTGGATTTTGATGCACGTCTCTTCTGTGAGACGGCTGTACTTTACAGTCTTAGGCTGCCCATTGTGCAAACATGACCAGATGAATTCAGTGTTTAATGTTAAGAATCTTATAACATGCCAATTTGATTTGTAGCCTTTCATATCATAGAATGCTAATTAAAATCATATTTTTGCATATGTCATGCCTTTCATGTACATATGCAAATAGATTCTGTTGCCTTTCAGCTATTAGTAATTAACTTTATGAAGGACAGCTGTAATACATAATTAACAAAAATGTTTTCAAGCCCTTTTTCACTGAAAGTTACAACAGTAATTTTTTTCTTTTACTTATCAAGAGTGCCATCTTAGTTTGTTGCTTCTAAGTGGGAACTAAATTGTTTTAAATAATCACATGACATAAYTAAATTGATGTTGTACCGTGTTCAATAGAAGAATGGTGCTCCATGCACTGGCTGCTGACTCCTGTCCATTTCATATTTATGTAAGCAATATCAAATTAAGTAAACTGATTCTTCTGTAAAATAAGATAATTTGTCAGGTAATACTTTTTGTTTTAGCTATTTATATTTTCTAGCAGTAAAGCATTTTTTCTTTTTTTTTGGTTCTGGAGACACAGTAAACATAGTTTAAAAACCCCTCTGCAAATCGCTACCATGATTTTATGAAAGCTTCATGAAAACTCTTCATTTACTAATTTGTAAGCCTTTAAATATTTAATTGAACAATATTGTMTCAAATTCATTTTATAATGAAAGTATGGGATTGGTTAGGGGGCAGTGAGTGTTATATTGAAGTCCKTCTTTATCTTTCCTACCAACTTTCAGTGGAGACAGGTACTAAGAAACTGTAGTCATTGTTTTGATCATTTGGTCACTGGCAGTAAACCCAGGTAAGAAAATGAACCAGTCAGTTTCAGTGCAGTTATTTCCTTTGCTTTCCAAGTATTACAACATATGCAATAACAAGCTTTTTGTTTAAGAAAAATGCCACTATGGTATGCATTTTCATGTTTTCTGAATATAAACATATGTTGGTATTATCCTTAAATATTTTCTATATAGATATCTAGTAGAAAGCCAAGTTTTAGTTCTATAATTACTTTCATTTATTTTTTAGGGTTGCTTTTGTAATGAAGAAGCACTTAAATACTCATCTGCTAGGCAAACATGGAGTTGGCACCCCAAAAGAAAGGTAATTTCCATTWTTTTATTTAACAAATATAATTAAATTATTATTTTAGGCTTTCTTTATCAACATGATTTTTTAGAATTTTTTTATCAAGTCAGTCCATTTTAGTTTGCATTTGTGGTATTTTGTTGTTGGATATAGTGTTTTATGTCATCTTCCCAGAAAAATATAACGGTGTACATTAATTTTTTTTTTATTAAATTGCAGTCTGGAAATATTTGAAGTGTTTGTGGGACTTTGAAACAATTTTCAAGCACTGAAGAGTTAAATTGTAGGGAATCAACCTTTGTAGCCACTTTTGCATGTGCTAAACTAAATATGTGAAACCAAACTTTGTATTTTTAACTTTGGAGTTTTAAAATAACATTTTTGAATTCTTACTGTAGTCTTAAATATTGCTGATATTAAAAAAAGAAATACATCTTGTAACATACCAAAATAATACTACAGTTGCCATGTCATGAAAAATAACACTACAATTATTATGTCATCAACTGCCAGATTTTCTGTCTCTTGGTACTGTATCATAATTAGCTTCATCTCATAGACTTAATTATATTAGGTGAACTGAAATAGAGCAGTTTCAGTTACCAGGTGAGCTGGCTACTTTTGAAATTTTTAAGCCTTTAAAATGTGCAGCTCACTCAGGTGTAGCATGAGCACTGCCATTTCCCTTATATATAGTGTAGATTGCCAGCTTCTTTTCAGTGCCCCAAGATGATATCCAAATGCCCCAGACACTCCTGGAAACCTTAGTTTCTAGTACTATATTAAAATGTCCATAATGATGCAAATTCTTCTTGTGATCTGAAGAGTGAAGCCTCCTCAGCCTTTTTTGTATGGGTTAAATAGCCCTTTTAAAAAATGTAAAATGCTCCTTTGGTATTTTGTGTGTTTTTGAGGAGTTTGACTTGACTTTTCTGCAGAAGAGGTTGTGTTTTTTTTTTTTTTGTACCAGGGATTGAACATAGGGGCACTTGATCACTGAGCCACAATATTTTGACATTGTTTTCAATCACATTTTTGCCATTGTTTTTTCTGTTTATTTTTTTCCTATGTATTTCAGGCATCTTTCACTTATTTTAGTTCTAAATATATAAAAGGAGACCAAAAAGCTAGAAAAAGTATGCTAGTTAACTTTCTATTACCTTGACCAAATACCTGACATAGTCAACTTAAAAAGGAAGAAATGTATATTTTGAATCAGGGTTTCAGAAATTTTGACCATTGGTGGATGCTGAGCCTGATTGCTTTGGGCCTATGGTATCACAGTGTATCATAAGGGGAGTGTGGTCGAGAAGGCTGTTCACCTCATGATGTCTGGGAAGCAAAAAAATAGACAGGAAGAAACCAGGGTCCTTAGTTTCCCCTTTAGGAGCACATCCTTAGTCACTTGATTTCCTTCCACTAGGCCTCAACTCTTAAAATTTCTATTGTCTCTCAGTAGTGCCACAGACTGGTGGTGCCTTCAATACATGGTCCTTTGGGGGCCATTCCACTTTCAAACCATAGCAGAAAGATTGAATGGCTTTCTCCTCTTGGAGATATGGTGAGCTTTTACGATGAGATGTGACACTATTTTTTTTTTTTTTGCCCTAAAATCAGGAAACAAATTTAAGATTGGAAAATACACCTACATTCTGGATTATTACTTTTTAATATTCCAAGTGGCACTATTCATCTAAACCAGATATTTTTGAATGTTTATCCTACTGAAGAGGCTTGTTTTTCCTAACTTCCACTGAAATATAATTTTATAAAAAATCTGCAACTGTAGCTAGAGGAGACTATCATTTTAGTTCTGTAATCAGCCYGAGGAATGCCAAAAGGCTTCTTTTTGTTTTATTTCCATGGTTTTAGGAAGTAAGGAAACTCTGCCAGCATGCTGAAACTCCAGTTTGGGGCATAACTGTTCTCTCAATTAAATTGAATATTTTCCTTACCTATTTGAAACATTAATGCTTTGACTGTAATTTTGCAAACTTGCTATATTTTTAAATTCTCCAAGACAGTGTGATCAGTTTACTTTTTACATTTTGAATTTGATTCTTTCCTTTAATGCATTGAATATTAGGGCAAATAGTAATAGAAGTTGGTTAAATAGACTGTGACAATTAAATTAATAATGCATTTTGTTTGCAAGTATGTAGGCCTTGTAGTTTGACTGATATATGCAAAAATATTATTTATTAAAAATTAATTTWTATACTGTAAAATTTGATGAACTTATACATTTTGTCAGCATGATTATCACTAGAAAACTATTACTAAATAATTTCAAAAATTTTTGACACTTCATGAACACTTGAAGTTATGGCTTCTGTAAGAACAWAGTTCTTTTTTAAAAGAATTTCTTTATTTTAATTAGGTATATAGGACAGCAGAATGCATTTTGATTCATTGTACATAGTTGCAGCACAACTTTTCATTTCTCTGTACATGATGTAGCATTGTACCATATGTGCAATCATATATGTACCTAGGGTCCYTAAATTAGCACTAACTTTTTTATGGTAGTATATATTACAGTATTTCTGAGGTCTTTCACACTTAAAAACAAACAACTAATTGTTAACCATCCAATTGTTTTCCTGAAATAATAAATTCTAATTTATTGGCATGTTCATTCCAGTGTTTCCTATTTCCAATGAATAATTCTCTTTGTATTGAAAGTTAGCCAAATATCTTTATAACTCTTTGAATTCATTCATAGTAATCTAAGAACACCACAATGGAGCAGCCATTGCAAATGCATCTCCTGTGAGTGCCAGGTGTCTACGACTGTGGAACTGTCTGGCATGTACAATTCAGTGCCTGGAATCAGCTGGGCTTTGAATGCCTGCGTAAATAGGAGGGAAGGTTTGCTCAGAATCCCCTATTTGACATATTAGTTTTTGATGTGTGTGTGTGTGTGTGTGTGTGTGTGTGTGTGTGTGTATGTGTGTGTGTGTGTGTGTGTATGTGTGTGTGTGTGTGTGTATGTGTGTGTATGTATGATCAGGAAAGGTCTGTGTAGGTAATGCTCTGGAAGGCTAATGAACACATGGCTTTCACATTAGAAAGTGTCTTTTGAAATATAAGCATTTAACAGTTATGTAGCCAAAAGAAATGTATCTGTGCCTTTACCAGTGAGTATCTACATCTGAACCTCARTGTCTTTTCTGTGGAGCCATATTTGGAAGTGTCTGTTAAAGTCTTTGCTTGCAGTTAGTCATTTACTGTCAGCACAGCTGTGGGGTGTGTGCAGGCTCTGGGCTAGTTAGTGTTTCTATGGAATTTCCTTCAAGGTCATTCAAATTGGGAGCCCTCCAACTTGTGCTGGACCCTCCTTTTTTCTCAGATGTTAGGGATTTAGTGTTAGTTGGCCTCTCCTCTTTTCTCAGATGTTAGGGATTCAGTGTTAGCTGTCTTCTTTTCAACTGCATCTTTGATACTGTTGGTTAATAAAACCATTACCCCCATTGGTTTTCACTGTGGGAAGGCAAGACAGGCAGCCCTGATGGTTGTTCCATTGTCCTTTAAGGCACTAATATGAGACAGGAATTACATAGGTCTTTGAAAGTCATTTCACTTCCTTCTCTTTTTTTGTCTGGAAAAGTTTGTACGTTAAAATTACATAGAAGCATCATCCTTGTTTTCTGCTTTTTCAGTTTAGATGTAAGCTTCACACTCTTCACAAAAYTTGAAAATATCTTGCAGAACACAAACATTTCTGGGAAAAGCACGCCTGCTTGCACCTACCATGGTGATTGGTAATTCTGTACCAAGGGTACTGGGGTTGTTTAGAAACACAGATTACATCATGTGAGTGAAATATATTTTATAAAAAGCCTGATGTTAAATAGAATAGTAGACTAAAATTTTTCTTATTAGAAGAAATTCTGTTTATATGCTTAAGTCCTATTAAGTTTTAGTTGTTGCTTCATTTTAAAGAAACAACTTTAAGTATGTTCTCTCATTGTATATGGCTTCTTTWATTAAAGGACGATTTTCCTGCTGTTTTATGTTTCTTTGGCATGGTGACTTGTTCTCATGGGTGTGTTGCCATTATATTCCATGTGCTGTTTCCATGCTCTGATCATTCTGGAGTGTGCTTGTATTCCAAGACTTTTTAGGCTCTCTTTCTCTTATTGACCCATTACTTACTGGTTGTCTTTTCTCATTTCTTCCTTCCTATTCATGGTTTGCAATCTTTTTTTCTTTTTCTTTGTCCCCCATGAGGGTTAATTTAGGAAAAATAAAGTGTTTATGGACTCCTCTCTGCTTTAAAAATATTTACACAAGAAACAGCTCTGTGGACTAAAGTGGATAAAAAAAAAAATGGACATTTTTTTTCCATTTTCTTGCCAAGTTTGTTTTCSTAAGTTGGGAGGGTGTTGGATTTAACTTAAAACTAGTTTTGCTGGGGCACAGGACTGCCTTTCTTCCATCTTCTACCATATCTCCATTTGTGGACAGTTAAATATAAATGATATCCTGTGCTTTTATGACATGGTTATTATTAAAAAGTAAAGAGGTTGCCTTTTGAGATAATCATTCTCCATGGCAAGGTAGATAGGAGTCACATCAGTTCATCCAAAGCCCAGGTTATGATTTTTAAAACTTTCTTTCTGCATTTACTAGCTTCAACCAACAATATATTATAATAGTTCATATTTCAAGTGCTGTTTTCTTGCTGAKATTTGTGAAGTATTTCTAAATTGCATTGATAATGTGGATTTTTTTTGGTTGTAGTTACTTTATGAGTTATGTCTTACTACTGAAATGGATATTTGGTTTAATTTCTGCTTTTAAGTTTTCCAGGAGAAAGTTAACAAGTAAGTATCAATTGTGTAGAATATCAAGATTGCTTGTGATTCCATTGCTCATCTCTGGGGCAGTGGAGAACCCTCCACTTCAGGTCATCTCCATTGGGCCCCTCAGCTCTCAGGAAGCAACACGAGCTTTACTCCAGAATCAATGCATAGTCAAAAGCTACACAAATTATCTGTATCCCATGTTTT